TCCACCGACGTAACGGTCCACCCGCTCTGCCTCGTGCATGTAGCCGACTTGCTCGTACAGAGCGAGAAAACTGCTTGTGTAGTCTTGGACCGACCCAAGCTGTCGCCAAGTACGCAGTTTCTGACGCGCCGAAATAGAAGCCGCGATCGACTCGAAACGCGCCCGAAGCCCTGCGCACCACGCATCCCACGTGCTGTACTGGGCGGTTTCGCAAAACGAACTCCAGGTGACGGCTGGACCCGTGGGCTCTTCCTCTTACGACGGCGGCTCGTAGGCACGTGGCGACGTCACGATGACTCGCCACCAGTCCATGGCGGGGCTCCTTGTTAAAGTTTAAAAGAGAGAAGAGAGAAGAGATTGCACTAGCAAGAATGAGGATACAAATAGCAAACCCTAGAAGGGTTGTACTCGCTATAGAGCACCCCACTACAGGCTAGAGCATAAGATAACATTCTGACACACCCCCATAGCCAAAGTGGGGTGTAATCAGCAGAGTAAGCAAGGGAGTACAAGCTCAGGGTGGATCACAATGTCACCACACATTCTGAGCACAAGTTCAAGAAGCAATAGTTTAAGTTCACAATTATGAGCAAAGCTAGTGGTAGTCACAACGGGCAAGTGAGGAGGAGGAGAGAGAGTGAGAGGAGAGGAGATAGGAGGCGACGGCTGAAGCTGCAGACACACGGGCAACAGGAGGCAGACTGGCACAGCGGCTACCGGACTAAGCGCCCGGACTACAGGAGTAACAGGCCCCGCGGCTAAAGTAGCGGCAGACGAGCAACGGACCCACGGGCGGCTGGCACAGCTGGCTACGACTGGGCTACCGGACGAAGTCCCCGGAATACAGGTGCTGCTGGCGACACGACGGCAACCTCCATGCAGCTTCCCCAAACGGTCTCACCCCCCCCGACACACACCCGCTGCTACACCGCTAGCTCCACTCCCACGCACCCCCCTTAAACCCTAAACCCCAGTCTCCCACACAACCACCCCCTAGCACCACTCCATCGTCTCCCACACACCCACCCCCCTCAGCGGCAGCTGCAGCAGTGGGAGACGGAGGAGGAGGAGGAGCAGGGGATACCACACACCCGCCACCCCCATACTCGCCCCTCCCGTCGCCTGTCGAGGCGACCGGAGGGGGCCGCGTGCGGCCCCCGAAGGAGCCGCGACGGGCGACGGGAAAAGGGGATTCCCGAAGGAGGGGGAGGGGGGGGGGGGGGGGGGGGGGGGGGGGGGGGGGAGGCGGGGCCGGGGCCGGGGCCGGGGCCGGGGCCGCAGGCGGGGCCGGGGCCGGGGCCGGGGCGCACGCGGGGCGTCGGGGCCGGGGCCGCAGGCGGGGACGGGGCCGGGGCGTACGCGGGGCGTCGGGGCCGGGGCCGCAGGCGGGGACGGGGCCGGGGCCGGGGGCGGTGCGCCGCGACGGGTCCCCGTCGCCCGTCGCGACGGGTCCCCGTCGCCCGTCGCGACGCCACCAGAGGGCGACGCGGCGAACGACGGGGCATAAGCCCGCCGCGCGCCTCGGGGCGCACAGCGGGCAGAGAACCGCCGCGCGCCTCGGGGCGCACGGCGGGCAGAAAACCGCCGCGCGCCTCGGGGCGCACGGCGGGAAGAAAAAGTGCCGCACGCCAGGGGGCGTGCGGCTCAGCGAGTAGTGAAAGGTAGTTGCAGCGGAAGCAACAAGGTGGTGAGCCCACCCACAGGATCGATCCAAGGGGATCGACCTGCTCTGATAGCATGTTAAAGTTTAGAAGAAAGAAGAGCAGAAGGAGAGATTGCACTAGCAAGAATGAGGATACAAATAGCAAACCCTAGAAGGGTTGTACTCGCTATAGAGCACCCCACTACAGGCTAGAGCATAAGATAACATTCTGACACTCCTTAGCAGCGAAACAACGTATCGAATCTTCGCTGCATCCAACTCGACGTAATTCGCGTCGAAGAAAACGTTCGTCGTGAAGACCCACGATTGAACCATCGGACCTCCACGTTGGTTCGGGTCGAAACAGGGCCCGCGCTGCGGTTTGAGCAGCATCGGCGCAACGATGTCGTTGTTGCCGATTGTTGCCGCAAATTCAACGTGACGACGGGCTTCGCGAGGCCCGCTCGTGCTTGGTGCAGCCCTGTTCCTCCCCATGCCAGGCGTTGATTGGGCGGCGCCATCACTGGCTGCGCCTGAGCGCTATCCCACGCTGTCATGTTGTGACAGTGTGCCGGACAAAATAACAATCGGCTCCTCCAATTGCACAGGTGCATTTGCAGGTGCTTGTGTTGGTGCTGGTGCATTCACCGTTGACTGCTGGCGGGCGGAATCACGTTCCGCCGTGAGTGTCGCGATTTCGAGCGCCGAATCCTCGAGTTGGCGGACGAGCCGGTCAGGCCCCACGATATCAGGGTAAAACATCATGATTACCCTGATTTCAGGATAGTGTCAGGAGTTTTCCCTGCAATTTCAAGATGATGGTATATTTTACCTTGTGACTTCAGGATAATTTTCGTGTCGAGCCTTGAAATTTCAGGAAGTCCGTGAGATTTTGCCCTGAAGCATCAGGACGAAGGTCGAGGACTGCCCTGACACATATGCAGAAGGGGAAGGGGTGTGGGGGGGATGGGGAAGAGGGGGGAAGGGGCGGGGGGGTGTGTGTATTGGTTTTGCCTCCTCCCGAGGATTTTGCCGCTTCTTCGTCGTACCGTACTATGCACGCACCGGTCTTCCCACTCATATCGGGCCTTCCCCTCCACCTCTCTCATGTCTTGTGTTTTTTTTGCCCTGAGAGATCAGGATGAATTCCTGTTGGTGCCCTGAAATTTCAGGATGGCCATACAATTTTGCCTTGAAAAATCAGGGCATTCTTGAGAATTTTCAAAAGTTGCCCTGAGGGCTCAGGATGCCCAAAATCCTAGCACATGCCTTAGAGCCGGTCGAGTTGCTCCTGCGTCAACGTCGCGAGATTGAGGTCGGCCATGGCGGGCGTGTCGGGCAAGCTCAGCGAGAGCCTCAGTCGTGGCCGTGCGTGCTTTTGAGAAAGCAATTCGAACGGCGGTGCCTGAACGCTGAGAGACGTCTACCCCCTCCAAAATGAGATAGTGGGGAAGCGAGGGTGTGGGTGCTGTCCAAGAAGAGATCGTAGGCTCTGATACCAAGTGTTACAAGTGCAATTGAGCGAGCGAGAATTGCACTATCGAAGCAAACAATACAATGAGAGAAGGCATGAGCGAAGAATATATAGCGAAGCCAGCGTGGTCACGGTAACGCGAGAAAATGGGGTGCGCTACGGGTTTAGCGCCGAGGTTGGGAAGTGTCGAGGCGGAGGTCCGGACCGTGAGGTTGGGTCGCATCGTGAATAATGGCGAGAGTCGTGGTCGAGGCGAGTGTCGCGAGCGGGTAACGTTTCACTGCTGGGTGCCGATGGCGGGAACGGTCATGTACGCGGTAAGCAGGGATGCTAAGGAAAAAGGAAATTTCCTTACATATTTCAAGGATCAACAAAGTTTGATGTGTTGGAAACAATTGATTTAAGCGCCTCTGTCGTGTCGAAACACCAAGTCATAAGCGAAGCGAAACATATCGAAGCATCAGCGAGTCAACCCTCGGAGGTTGAACAACTGCTGGAGGTTACGCGAAAGTCAAAGGTCAGCGACCTTTGACCTGACAAATACAGCGCGACAGCAAGGACAAACAACTGACTCGCTATTGAGCAGTTGCCCGAGTCGACACTGTATCGAACCGCAACAGCAACAGTAAAACGGTTACTAACCGTATCTCTTCATATTCCTTGTATCCTTATAAAAGCTTGTATCTCTTTGTTTTAATCAATCTACTTTGCCCTCACATACTAGCGCAAGGTGGTTCACAAGCCTTTTACTTAACGCTTCCGCTATTACATTGTCCTACCCCGAATTTAGTCCTGCAAAGATCCTAAGGGCTTTTTCAGCCCAACATGATGCAATGAGGAATGGAAAATGCTCAAGCTTGATTAGTCAATGTGGAATATTTCCCAATTTCTAGATCCAGAATTCTCCTTCATGAAGTAATAAAATGTGGAATTGCTTCTGATGTCATTGAGGCCTCAGCCTATGACTTCAAACCTGAAAGACCAAGGGGGAAGAATGAAAAATAAATTCATGAACGGCTATCCACAAATTTTAACATGCATACGTTAGGAGTGTGACTGATGTTCGCTGAATTGTAAGAAATGAATGTAAAGAATCTTCCTACCGATGATTGTAGAATTTATACATCAGCGGAACCCCTTTCAAAGTGTAGCTGTTGAGATCCGACTGTGCGCGATGTCCTCTCAGAGGACCTAAACATGCCAAATGAAAAAACGACACAAAAACGCAAATGATGGGGTGAAAAGGGATCGAGGTGAGGGAGTGGGGGGGAAGGGCAGTGAAAGCAAGGAATGCGAAGACCAGATGGATGGGGAAAGGGGGGAGAGGGAATAAACGATTGCACCCGAGCAGAATGGGGGAAAGGGGAGAGGGATGGGGGAAGATGGCGTTTGTCTGGTCGGTCTGTGATTGAGCTGAGAGGAGAGAGTGATAAAACAAAAGAATGCAGTGACAGACCATGGTGGGGAGGAAAGGAAGAATGGCACCAGTAAAAAAGGAGGGGTGAGGGACAGGGGAGATCGATAGAGAGGTCGAATGGGATAAAGGGGATGTTGAGGAGGAAAAAGGGGAAGGGGGAGAGGAAATAAACGATTGCACCAGAGCAGAATAGTCACAAGCACAGAACCTCTTCAAAATAACGCATCCAAGAAAGAAGCCCACATCTGCAACCCGCAGACAGAATCCCATACTTTATCGTCCGAGGCCTTGCCTCTCCATGAGCAGAATAAATGCACTGCGTTATCTCAAATAGAAGCCCACATCTGCAACCTGCAGACAGAAACCCATACCTCATAGTCCGAGGCCTCTTCATGAGAGGAAAATTTTAATGCAATGAAGCGCAAGAAAGAAGTCCATCATGGCAATCCACAAATAGAAAAACATACCTAATCATCCCAGGCCTCTCCATAGGGGGGATATTCGAATGCATCGCTCTGAGCATCCTCAAACACCTCCTCTTCCTCCTCCTCCTCCCCCTCCTCCTGGAGATCTCCATAACCCTCCTTACCCCCCTCATCCTCCTTATCCTCCTCGCTCTGCTCATCCTCCACATCATCTTCCTCCTCATTCCTGTCCCATTCTGCATCATCTTCCTCCTCAAACTTGTCCCATTCCGAATCCGATTGCTCCTCACAACCCTCCTCAGGTTCTTTCTCAGAGATGCCCTCTAGCGCATCCCAGTACTCCTCCTCAGCCCCGTCATGAGTGGCAACGACCCCTCCCCCTGCAGTCAATGCTGGTGCGCTCGCTGCTGGTGCGGCAACATCAAGAATCTCTCGAGGTGAAGCCGCAACTTCTCGAGGTGCGGTGGGAATGGGTCGGGGAGCAAGCAGCTTGCGGCCGTACTTGATCAATGTTGACTGGGCGTGCTGAGCAGCTTGAAGAGCCCGGGCTTGCAGCTTGCGCGCCTGGGACAGCACATAGTGCCGCGTGCTGGTGGGGAGTGAACACAAGGGGTGGGGGGAGGAGGGGGGGCGGAATTATGTATGAGAAACTTCATAACTGTTGCCAGAGCGTGTCGGATTGCCTGGAGGAGTCGAGCTTGAAGATTGCGCGCCTGGGACAGCACGTAGTGCCGCGTGCTGGTGGGAAGGGGACAGGGAGGGGGGAGGAGGGGGAAGGGGAGGGTTGGGTGGTATATATGAGAAACCTGAGAGCATTGCTGCCTGGCTGCTCTGAGCGGCTTTAAGAGCCCGGGCTTGCAGCTTGCGCGCCTGGAACAGCACGGAGTGCCGCGTGCTGGCGAGGAGTGAACAGGGAGGGGGGAGGGGGAGGGGAGCAAGGGGGGGGATATATGAGAAGCTTCAGCACTATTGCCTGGGAATGCGGAATGGTTGAAAGGAATCGAGCTTGCAGCTTGCGCACCTGGGACAGCACGGAGTGCCGCGTGCTGGCGAGGAGTGAACCGTGTGAGTGGGGGGAGGGGGAGGGGAGGAAGGAGGAAGGGAGGAAGGGGGAGGGGAGGAAGGAGTGTCAGAATGTTATATTTGTCTAGCCTGCAGTAGGGTACTCAATATTGAGTACAGCCCAATTTAGGGTTTGCTATATGTACTCAACTGCCTGCTAGTGAATCTCCTCTTCTCTGTTTCATTTCCTTCCTTCACAATTCTGACATGCTATTAGAGCAGGTCGACCCTCCCGGGACGATCCTGTGGATGGGCCCACCGTTAGCTTCCGCTGCTGTCCTGCCTATCGCGCGCCTCGGGCGCGCGACGTTTGTCTGCCTGCCGCACGCTCATGGCGCGCGGCATGTTTTCTTTTCGCCGCGCGCTCGGGGCGCGCGGCGGTTTTCTGCTCGTCGCGCCGCCCTGGTGGCCGCGCGACGCCCTGCCCTGCCCGTCGTGCGCCCCGTGGAGCGCGACGGTGCCCTGCCCGTCGCGCGCCCCGATGCGTGCGGCGGTTTTGTCACCCGTCGCGGCGCCCCGGGGCCCCCCGGGGGTGTCGTGGGAGTGAAGCTAGGGGTGCAGCAGGGGGTGTGAACGGGAGTTTTGGGACAGTTAGGGGGAGGTTGGGCGGAGGCAGCCGTCGTGTCGCCAGCAGCGCCAGTAATCCGGAGGCTACAATCTCCGGTAGCCCAGCGAGCCTGCTGCGCCAGTCGCCCGTGGGTCCGTTGCTCCTGCCGCTCAGAGTTAGCCGCGGAGCCAGTTACTCCAGTAGTCCGGAGGCTATAATCTCCGGTAGCCACAGTGCGCGCCGCTCCTGTTGCCCGTGTATCTGCAGCTTCACCCGTCGTCTCCTATCTCCATTCCTCTCACAGTCCTTCCTCCTCCTCATTTACCGTCTGTGACTGCCTCTAGCTTTGCTTATATTTGTGAACTAGTGCTGTGCTTGCTTATTGTGCTGATTACACCCCACTTTGGCTATGGGGGTGTGTCAGAATGTTATATTTGTTTAGCCTGCAATGGGGTACTCAATAGTGAGTACCAAGGATTAAAAATACGGTTGTCGTATTATACGGGCCGTTTTTTACGGTCGTATTTTACGGTCAATTTTAAAAAATTCGGCCGTTTTTTTGATAGAGTTTTTTTCTCCGCAAAAAAAAATAATAATCTAACTTCAGACTTGCTACCATCCACTTCTAGGGATGTGAACATCAAAGAAATTGCTAATGATCAGGCCTAAAAGGCCGCTCCCCCCCCAAACTCAGACTATTATAAGCGGCCCCGCTTGTGCGGCGATTTCGCCCGCCGATCTGCGCATACCGGCGATTTCGCCCGCCGATCTGCGCAGATCGGCGATTTCGCCCATAGCTCTGCACAGATCGGCGATTTCGCTGGTCAAATTGAATTCGCCACGAACTGAGAACCCAAAGTCAGGCACCCCTTCCTCCCCGTCAAAATTGTTGGAACTCAATGTCCCAACCAATTCGTCGCCACTTATCACTTGTCACCGCACTGGATCTACAAGACCCAACCCCCCGTACACTTTCACAGATCTCGACATTGGCCTCAGCCCAACCCTAGACTATTACAGATGGCCACGGAACCTGTCTGAGCTTCTGTGGGGATGTTCTTGAGCCCCACGGAAACTCCAAAAACTCGTTAAAAAAATTCGGCCGTTAAAAACGACCGTATTTTTGAACGAACCTAAAAATGCAAGGTCTGGCCGTATTTTACCGTTTAATACGACCGTAAAATACGATACCGTATTTTACGGTAAATTTTCAAAAATTCGGTCGTATTTTTGAACCTTGGTGAGTATAGCCCAATTTAGGGTTTGCTATATGTACTCAACTGCCTACTAGTGAATCTCCTCTTCTCTGTTTCATTTCCTTCCTTTACTATTCTGACAAGGAGGAGGGGAGAAAGGGGGAGGGGAGGAAGGTGGAGGTGAGGAAGGGGGAGGGGAGGAAGGGGGAGGTGAGGAAGGGGGAGGGGAGGAAGGGGGAGGGGAGGAAGGGGAGGGGAGGAAGGGGGAGGGGAGGGAAGGTGCGGAGGGAAAGGGGGGCAAGAAAGACAGTGAGATGCTCAGAAATCACATGGTCGGCGCGGCGCACATGGTTCTGCCACAAGGTCGTTTTACTGAACCACATCAGAAACTGTTCTTGAGTCGACTCAAAAACAGGCTCGGCGCACATAGTTCTGCCACAAAGGTCATTCTACTTTACCACATCAGGAACTTAACCGATGGATAATAATGTAATTTGAGACGCACAAATTGACACAGAAACAACGCCTTGTATGGAATCAAGAGCATCACCTGAACCGGTGTCCATTTGCAGCAGCGTTGGAGGAGAGGAGAGCCAAGAACGGACGCACGAGCAAGATTGAGAGTAAGAGAGAAGGAGAATCAACTCACTGCAGAATCGACTCAAGGAGAGTGAGGGGCATCAAGGGCATCAAGGGCATTACCTGAGGCGGTGTCTGTTGGCAGCAGCTACAAAGGAGAGTGAACGTGAGAGTGAGAGTGAGAGCGATCGAGGGGGCATCACCTCAGGCGGTGTCTGTTGGCAGCAGCTACAAAGGAGAGTGAACGTGAGAGTGAGAGTGAGAGCGATTGAGGGGGCATCACCTGAGGCAGTGTCTGTTGGCAGCAGCTACAAAGGAGAGTGAACGTGAGAGTGAGAGTGAGAGCGATCGAGGGGGCATCACCTGAGGCGGTGTCTGTTGGCAGCAGCTACAAAGGAGAGTGAACGTGAGAGTGAGAGTGAGAGCGATCGAGGGGGCATCACCTGAGGCGGTGTCTGTTGGCAGCAGCTACAAAGGAGAGTGAACGTGAGAGTGAGAGTGAGAGCGATTGAGGGGGCATCACCTGAGGCGGTGTCTGTTGGCAGCAGCTACAAAGGAGAGTGAACGTGAGAGTGAGAGTGAGAGCGATTGAGGGGGCATCACCCGAGGCGGTGTCTGTTGGCAGCAGCTACAAAGGAGAGTGAACGTGAGAGTGAGAGTGAGTGCAATCGAGGGGGCATCACCTGAGGCGGTGTCTGTTGGCAGCAGCTACAAAGGAGAGTGAACGTGAGAGTGAGAGTGAGAGCGATTGAGGGGTCATCACCTGAGGCGGTGTCTGTTGGCAGCAGCTACAAAGGAGAGTGAACGTGAGAGTGAGAGTGAGAGCAATCGAGGGGGCATCACCTGAGGCGGTGTCTGTTGGCAGCAGCTAGAAAGGAGAGTGAACGTGAGAGTGAGAGTGAGAGCGATTGAGGGGTCATCACCTGAGGCGGTGTCTGTTGGCAGCAGCTACAAAGGAGAGTGAACGTGAGAGTGAGAGTGAGAGCGATCGAGGGGGCATCACCTGAGGCGGTGTCTGTTGGCAGCAGCTACAAAGGAGCCCACGCCCTTGAAGATCCACATGATGGCTCGGAACAGCTGTGGAGAAAGGAGAGGGAGGGAGTCGGAGACAGGAGAAAGAAAGAGGCAGAGATACAGAAACCCAATGCCACGAGAGTCACCGAAGGAGCCCACGCCCTTGAAGATCCACATGATGGCTCGGAACAACTGTGGAGAAAAGAGGAGGGGGGAAGCGGGTGGGAGACAGGATAAAGTAAGGGGCAGAGATAAAGAAACCCGATGCCACGAGAGTCACCGAAGGAGCCCACGCCCTTGAAGATCCACATGATGGCTCGGAACAACTGTGGAGAAAGGATAGGGAGGGAGAGGGAGGGAGAGGGAGATAGAGGCAGAGATAGAGAGAACGAGGACGAGGGCGAGTTTGAAGCCACACAGCTGTATCGCCGGCTTTATGCTGATTGCAGCACATGCCCATTTACTGCCAAACAAGCTAAGAGAACAACTTTAAAGCCCCCATGCTTTTAGCCTACGAACCCTTACATTGGACCCTAAACAGTGACTGCCAAATGAATGTTTCATGCCTTACACCCAATCTAAACGAGTGGGCTAGTCTCAACGTCTCTGGGAACCCCACCTTCTGGAAGAGGTTATGCCACATTTGCAGCAGGGATGAGGAAGACGACCGAACCACCGCCGAACCTGCAGCCGAGGAAACTTGCCCCACTGCCGAACCTGCAGCGGAGATCTGCTGTCCCACTGCCTTGGTTGCCGAGCCTAGCTTTCGAGCCCCAACGACCAATCGCAGCGAAGAGGAGACGGTCTTGGAGATATAGGAGAAGCTATTTGCCACAGATTTATAGCCGTATGCGAAGGTGAAAGAGAAAGCTTTTATGGAGTATGTGATAGGTTGCACAAGGGTTTTAGAAAGGTATACAAGGTGAAGCAAGAGCGTATTGGAGAGGTGTGTGAAGTGAAGGGAGAGGGCTTTGAGGGAGGAGGCGAGGGAGAGCGTGAGGGAGTGGGAGAGTGAGTGTGAAAAGGTGGAGTAGAGGAAGGTGGCGAGCTGCAGCAGCAGGCGGAACAGCTGTAGGGGGAGCTTGAGGAGAGAGAGGAGGGCGGAGAGGAGAGGCGTGAGGAGGAGGTGGATGAACTGGAATAGAGGCAGGATGATGGCTCGACCTGGAGAACGGTGGGCAAATAAATAACGAAGGGGAAGAGATGGAGGGAAAGATGAGGATGTGAGAATGAGTAGCGGAAGCGTTGATGGCTACTCTTGATACATGGTAGGAAGGAGATAGGTGAAACATGGTGAACGAAACCCTGTGAATGAAACACGGTGAATGAAACACGGTGAACAGTGCACGAAACAGGGCGAATGAAACATTGTGCATTGAACATGATGCTGAAATATGGTGCATGAAACAGGGTGCATGAAATAAAACAACGAAACACGCCGCAACTCAACTCAGCCACTCCACACTCACCTGTGCCCCACACTCCTCTGAGACACGGTGCGACTCACCCACAGCCCAAAGGGTATGGGCACGGGCATAAACGGTTGAACAAGCACTCCAACCAACCTAATTTCAAGGTGCTTCAAAACGATCTCCATTGTGAGACACGGTGTGACTCACCTGTGGCCCGCACTCATCTATCAGACTTGGTGCCACTCACCTACGCCTTACACTCACTTATCAGGTGCGACTCACCTATGGCCCAGAGGGTACGAGCAAGGAGCAGCAGTGGGTGAAGAAGCATGCCAAGCAGCCGGCCCAGCAACATAGCTCGTGAATAGAAGAACGACAGCTGAGCCGAAAGAAGCTGAGCCACTTTCCACACGCTGTTGCTGCATGCTTGTGAGAGGAACCGATACAGCAGCAGGCAGTTGCTGTACAGGAAAGATACGCGAGAAGACACTAGTGAAGACAGCAGATGTGCGAGTTTCAGCACGGAGCAGCTGTAGGCTTGTGAGAGGAGCTGATAGAGCAGCAGACAGCCATTAGAGATGGCTACTCCAGTGCTGTATACAGCCAGGTAGCATGCATTCAGTAACTGCCACACCGGGACGAGTGTGTGCTGCCCCAGCAGCCACAGCGGGCGCATGACGTAACCGAGTAACCCTCCGCTACTGGTAACCAGCTTTCCGAGGGCGGACAAGAGGTTCCATGCGGTGGAGAGGAGTTTGGTGAGGCAGAGGAGGACGGTGTGCAAGAGGAGCGAGCAGGGGTGCTGGAAGGGCCTGAGGAGGAGAGAGAGAAGGTAAGAGAGGAGGGAAACCGCGTGGGAGATGACTTTCCAAGAGGAGGACAGCCACTTGAAGGCCCGCTCCCAGTTCTGCAGAAAGAGAATTGTGCCAAGGTATCTCAGCCTTGTTCCCATGTCCCACGTGCCTACTACCGCCCATATTGGCCCCAGCATCCGCGCCAGCATTTCCTGTAGCACCGGGATGTTCTTATACAGATCGTAGAAGCCAATGAGGACTGTAACGAGGGAGACTATAAAGCACGCGTACGCGACGAGGGGGCGCATCCAGGGGCGGTAGAGGGCAGAGAGGCCGGCGCAGGATTGGAGGAAAACGGCCCACGAGGGCAGGCCGGATTCTAATTGGTGGAGCAGGCGTTGGTCGGTGGTGATGACGTCAGCGAGGGCGGCAGGGAGGTGTGGGTGGGTGAAGCGGAAGAGGAGGAGGGTGTCTGGGTAGATGATGGTGGTGGGAGGGGCGCGAGGGGCCGGGAGGAGGGGTTTGGGAGAGGATAGGAGGGTGGAGGGGTAGATGAGGTGAGTGGGAGGGGTGCGTTGGTGGGGGGATGGGAGGTGGGGTCCGGGGGAGGTGAGGAGGGTGGAGGGGTGACGATGGGTGGGGAGGGTGCGGGAAGGAGAGGTGAATTGTTGTCGTTCGTGTTGGTGTTGGTGGTGGCGATGGTGTTGGTGTTGTTTGGCAGAGGAGGAGGTGGAGCAGTAGCTTCTGCTGTCGCCCTCAGTGTCACCGTCACCATCGTCAGAGCAATAGCCGCGGCTGTCGCCCTCAGTGTCACCATCAGCATCATCATCAGAGCAGTAGCTTCTGCTGTTGCTCTCATCATCATAGCTACCAGCACCACTACCATCACCACCACTACTGCCACGACTGCCACCACCCCCACTACTGCAACTGCCGCAGCTGTCATCAAAAGATTCGCCCCTCCTCCCGTCTTCCTCCTCCTCGTCCTCCTCATTCTCCTCCTCCTCCTCGTGCCCATCATAGCTGTACGCATCTCCACACTCGTCACTATCAACATCACCGTTGCCCCTGTCACCAACATCAGCACCATCATCCTCACCACACACTTCCCCATCCTCGCTCCGGCAGCAGCTGGTGCTCACAAAGAGGCGGCGAGGTATGAGAATACTGGGGAACAGCTCTCGCTCCACACCACCATGTACAGTCACTGCAGACTCTGCTTCTGCTGACTCTGCTTCTGCTGATTCTGCTTCTGCTGACTCTGCTTCTGCTGATTCTGCTTCTGCTGACTCGGCTTCCATTTCGTGAAACACGCTCGACACTTCCCCATCTGCATCCCGTTCATCACATACAGTCTCTGCTGATTCCGCCTCGACCTCCTCCCAGCCCTCTGGACTATCCCAGACCTCTGCTTCCATCTCTTCATACACACTTGATTCTATACCATCTGCTTCCATGTCAACATGTACATTGGATACCATCCCATCTGCTTCCATCTCCCCATGCATACCCCTAGATACCACCCCAACTGCATCCACGTCACCATGTACACTGGGCGGTGACTCTGCCTCCACCTCCCCCCAACTGTCTGGGTTATGATGTGGCTCTGCATCGATATAATCACACGCACTAAGTTCCATCCCAACTGCCTCCACGTCATAATGTAAACTAAGTGATGACTCTGCTTCCACGTCATCATGCACAGTGGATCGACTCTCACTGTACAGCTGAGGCTCATTCTCCCAGCACGATTTATAGCTAGGCTCCCCACTCAAGAAAGACCCCCCCTCCTCTGCTGCACCATCACCCCCCCTATACAACCGAGACTCGTTTTCTAACAGCCAACCAGGTTCGTTTCCCTTCAACATTCTCTCCTCTGCTGCACCGCCATTCGTCCCCGCCCTGCCACTGCTGCCATCGCAGCACTCACCCTCCAGTAGAGTTTGGGTGGCAAGCTCGGCATCTAGCAAGCCTACCTCACTGCACCCCTCCGAAAACCTCTAACTGGAATCGCTCATCCACGTGTGCAGGTCCGAACTGGACTGGCTTGTGCCTGCCTGCTGCTGGCGTTGCTGCTGCTGCTGCTGCCCCTGCTCCTGGTGGCGTTGGTGCTGGTGTGGAGGGTTGCACAGCTGGGAGCATGCAGGGGAAAGGAAAGGAAAGGAAAGTTGCTTTGAGGCGCATAACACGAAAGTCGATAGCTCCCTTAAAGAACAAAACCCGCATTTCAGGGGGCGTACGGGAAGGAAAGGCAAAAATGAAGAAGACGGAAGGGTATCAGAAACAGGGAGGGAGAGTGAGGAGGTAAGGGGGGGTTCTAGGGGACGAGGAAGGAGAGTGACGGGGAGAGAAGGAATCAAGGGAGTGAGTGCAGGGGCATGGAGGGTCTTTTACTTTTCAGGAAAAGAAAAAACAGAGGCCCAGCTTGCTTAACACACCTGCGAGTCTGAGATCCTGCTTCGTGTGCTTTGAAACGCCACAAGCTCCTCTCTCGTTCCAGCATCAGCAGTATCAGCCGCGGCAGGGTGCAATCCGAAAGGTACTGGAGTGCACGGCGGGGTCTGCTGATCGTGAAAGAGCGCCTTTCTACCTAGCTTTTGAGAGCTCCCAAAAGCTTCTCTAGGACTGCGAAAAGGACAGCCGATGCACATCTGGGCTTGCCTGCTCCACAAGCCACTATTACACGCAGCATCGACAATGGAAGCAGCTGCACGAGCAGCATCACCAGCATCTGCAGCAGCAACAGCAGCAGCTAGTCTGCTGCTTCCAGCAAAACTGATAGCAGCGAAACTGCTTGCAGCACTGCTGTACAATGCTCCACCACCCCCAGCAGCAGCAGCAGCACCACCACCACCACCAACCCCAGTAGCACCAGAAGTAGCAGCACCAGCAGCAGCAGCAGCCCCAAGAGGAGACTTTGGCCCTACACGATTCCCACTGAACGCGCTCCCCCCCATCCACGGACCAGCAGGGACACGCGGACTGGCAGCAGGAACGGAGGCGTGGGATTGGTTGGCACCGTGGAGGGGCGTGGTTCCATGTGAGGGCGTGGCGGGGTAGAGGCGCAGAGCATGTGCGTGCACGGCCTGGTCAAACGAGTCAAACTCGCGCTTCACCACACGCGTCACCTCCATGGCTAGATTGGCTTCCGCCTGCCGCATGGAAGGGGTGGGAAGGGTTGCGGGTGGGGAGGGGGAAAGGGGTTGGGGGACATGGAATGGACAAGGCTGGGATGCTAGGCGACTGGATGGTCTCGTCCTGGGTCGGCGGAAGTAGGGAGGGTTGAGAGTGTGCCCGAGCTGGGATATGGTGGGCTCAGGGAGCAATGGTGGATTCAGGGAAGAGTGGTGCGGAAAGGGAAAAGAGAGGAGGCTCGTTATAAACAGCACGAAGTGCTCCAAATGGGGAACAGAGAAGGGACGGGTGCAGGAACGCACCTGCAGCTCATTCTCGTATCTGAGCCTGCGCACATCGCTCCAGCTGACTTCAAGGGTGACACAGCCGCAGAGGCCGTGAAGGGGCGGACGGGTGCAGTAACGCACCTGCAATTCGTTCTCGTATCGGAGCCCACGCACGTCGCTCCAGCTGACTTCAAGGGTGATACAGCCGCAGAGGCCGTGAAGGGGCGGACGGGTGCAGTAACGCACCTGCAATTCGTTCTCGTATCGGAGCCCACGCACGTCGCTCCAGCTGACTTCAAGGGTGACACAGCCGCAGAGGCCGTGAAGGGGCGGACGGGTGCAGTAACGCACCTGCAATTCGTTCTCGTATCGGAGCCCACGCACGTCGCTCCAGCTGACTTCAAGGGTGACACAGCCGCAGAGGCCGTGAAGGGGCGGACGGGTGCAGTAACGCACCTGCAATTCGTTCTCGTATCGGAGCCCACGCACGTCGCTCCAGCTGACTTCAAGGGTGACACAGCCGCAGAGGCCGTGAAGGGGCGGACGGGTGCAGTAACGCACCTGCAATTCGTTCTCGTATCGGAGCCCACGCACGTCGCTCCAGCTGACTTCAAGGGTGACACAGCCGCAGAGGCCGTGAAGGGGCGGACGGGTGCAGTAACGCACCTGCAATTCGTTCTCGTATCGGAGCCCACGCACGTCGCTCCAGCTGACTTCAAGGGTGACACAGCCGCAGAGGCCGTGAAGGGGCGGACGGGTGCAGTAACGCACCTGCAATTCGTTCTCGTATCAGAGCCCACGCACGTCGCTCCAGCTGACTTCAAGGGTGACACAGCCGCAGAGGCCGTGAAGGGGCGGACGGGTGCAGTAACGCACCTGCAATTCGTTCTCGTATCGGAGCCCACGCACGTCGCTCCAGCTGACTTCAAGGGTGACACAGCCGCAGAGGCCGTGAGGGGGCGGGTGCAGGTGCGAGAGCGCCCTGCGCCTGGCGTGCAGGCGACGCACAAAGGCGTCCAGCGACCTCCACTTCACCCTCCTGTGCCGCCCACTGCTGCTGCCTATGCCCCCGATGCTGCCTCCTCCGCCACCACTGCTGCCACTTCCTAATCTCGGAGTTCTGCAATGAAATGACACGGATAAGGAACAGAAGCAGCTCGCGGAACGGATGAATGGGAGGTGGCATTTGCGGTGGTCAAAGGAGTGCAGCAGCTTCTTCTGCGCAACCCTCCCTTGACTTCCAGCCTCGCCCAGAATTTTGATTCGTTACAAGCCTTTTCAATTCACAGTCTAGATTCTTCTACATTCGGCTCGTATCGTTTGACTGATCTGCAAAAGGAGACCTCCAGCACCATGAGTTCGCCAAGAATATAAATTGTCAAGAATGTATCGTCATGTGTTACCTGCAAGAGGAAAGTCCTGCCGCTTCCTGAAGACAAGAACGTTGAGGCTATAGCCCTCACGGAGGGACTCGATGCATTCTTCGAACAACCAAAACATGCGCTGGTTCAGTGACTTCGATGGGTGGACCGGTCACACTCTCAGCTGAACGAGTTGGAACTGCTGGGGTAAGTACTATGTCTAACAAGTTCCACGCATGATTCTATTATGAGAGAAAGATGTTCTAGTTGCGGCCGTGCACCGACAGGGCGGGAGGGTCGTTAGAGCCGGCGTATGCGATTTTCACGCAAGACATGTTTCCGTACTCGTACGCGTTCTTGTCACCTAGGGATGAGCAAAGGGCGAACACGAACATGTTCGTGTTCGCCCCTTCTCGAACACGCCCTTTTGCCGAACCGAACACTGTTCGGTTCGGCAAACAGTTTAGCCAAAAACAGGTGTTCGCTGTTCGCCTGTGGAGGCGTGTTCGGGCGAACCTCGAACACGTTCGTGTTCGACACGGGGCGTTCTGCAGCAGCGCCACGAACACGAACGTGTTCGGGCGAACATCGAACACGTTCGGGCGAACGATTTAAGCTGAAAAACAAAAACTGTTCGGTTCGCCTCGAACACGTTCGAGGCGAACCGAACAGGTGTTCGCCACCTTGCTCAAGCCTATTGTCACCTGCAGATGTCGCACCGCGATCTGGTCTAAGAACGCATGCGGTGCAACGTTTGCATAAGAACGCGTACAGTACGAAAACATGTCTGGCTTGAAAACCGCATGCGCCAGCTCTAACGACCCTCCCCTCCTGTCGGTGCACGCCACAACTAGAACATTTTTCTCTCAAAGTAGAACCATGCCTGGAACTTGTCAGACATATTACTTACCCCAACAGTTTCCAATTCGTTTAGCTGAGAGTGCGACCGGCCATCGAAGTCATTGAACCAGCGCATGCTTTGGTTCTTCAAAGAACGCCTCGAGTCCCTCCGTGAGGGCTACCGCCTCAACGTTCTTGTCTGTGGTGCGCTTCAGGCAGCGGCAAAACTTATCTCCTTCAGGTAACGCATGATCGTTTACTTCTTGTGCATGATTACATGCATGTTTTTAACTCATCATTGTCTCTGGTGGAGCAAGGTGATGACGAGGATACTCCAGGACTTGTACCTCTCTGCGCAGCGATCGCTGCAAATATACTTGAGGGCGAAGAGTATAAAGCGTCATTTATCTATTATGACCTATACGGGAGCATGGTCCCACTGACCTGCAGAAGGAGTCCGCCACCGCCATGATCTTACCAAGAATTTGATCCGCTAGAAACCCCTTCAATTCACAGCCTACATCGTTCTATATTCGGCTCGTGTCTCCCCACTGACCTGCAGAAGGAGTCCTCCAGCGCCATGATCTCGCCCAGCAGGCGGTCCATAAGGCTGTTGTTAGCGAACGGCGAGTCGTACCGCGGCGCCTGGAACCCATAGAGGGAGGGAACAGAATTTCGAATCACCGGAAAAGAGAATTAACGGAACTATTTGCGAAGTAAACAATCAACACATAATATCAATGATTATATCTCTCGAATAGGACATGAGGCGACAGAGAGACCATCCTGAATCTGGTAGTAAACAATCCAGCGAGATTTTATATTGCAGTTTCCTGTTTTCGCGTTCTGTCCAAAGTCAGCATTCCTATCAAGCGTTTTCTGTTGTTCCTGTGTTATTCAGCCTGACCTTGGAAAGCAGCTGCCATAGTCCGGCATCTTTCCCGCTGCTGCGCTTGGGACACCACGGGCTGTTCACGAAGAAGACCAGCTGACCGGCCTCCTTGGCGATATGCACGGACAGAATGGACCCTTTCGACGTCTTCCGCCTGCCAACACCATGGAATCCAGAAACAGTGGTAGATATTATGCGAGAAGAGGCTTGATTAGACGTCAGTTTCTTGTTTAATCGGCCGTGAGATTAACGGCTACTCAATGAATGCACCCTTCGAACGTCTTCCGCCAGCCAGCACCATGGATTCCAGCAGCAGTAGCTAACATCAGACGTCAGCGTTTCCCCTTATCAACCGTGAGATCAAGAAGGGCATTTTCGACGGGTATTGAATGAATACATTTTTTAACATTAACCGCTAAGCAACGTGTGTACGATCAGCTGTGGATAGAATCCCGGACCAGTTGTTTGTGATATTAAGTAGCACACATTAAACCGTTATCTGATCGCAATCTATTTCCGATGCTCGGTAATAACGTGAATCGCAGAGTGCTTACCCTATTTGAAGGGAAGTTATTGGATAGAGAGTCAGAGCAATGCCAGTTCCTGCCTCCTCGAGCTCAGCCATTCCGAGACGAAGAGGGAATTCCAGCTATGAACGAGTCAGCTTACACAACTCAACATCAGAGCTCGCTCCCTGTCATCAGTCAGCAGGAGGGTTGATGGAACTGACGACCTTTTCATCGTTGAAATTGAAAGCCATAAAAGGAATCGTTATGCAATGCATAGCTCTGCTGACTTCTAATCGTCAGGCAGGTAGGTCTGGTTGGTCAGGCACCACTGATGGGTTGATGACGGCGAGTATGCTGTCAGGAACGGCGAGGATTAGATCGTTTGGTGGTGGACGGACAGGATTGGAAGACAATGGTTCAAAATGATGTGGTGTTCACCAGTGGAGCTAGTTCAAGCATGGCTTGGGTGGCCTGAATCTGGCGGGACAGAGGGGTGGATTGCGGAAAGGGGGGAACGGGGGGGAAAACGGGGGAAAAGGAGGAAACGAGGAGGGGAAGGGGGAAGGGGGAGGCGGGAGGGGGAGGCTGGTGCAGTAGAAAGTCGAGCTTCCGTTAGCTGAACGCGCTAGCGGAACGCGATCGTGATGAGCCTGGACCAGGGATAACGCAGATCTTCGCTGAGAGTGGTTGTGTTGGGTTCGAAGAATCCGGGTCAGGGAAAACGCGATAATGATACTCGATTGGAGGTACAGCAGAGGGTGAAGGAGATATGAAATAACATGGATTCCAGATAGGATTCCGTATAGGTGAGAAAACAAGCTGGAGAGTACAAATACGATCTGTCTATCTGAATATTCAGGCTAAAATGTTAGAAATTATGTCGTAGCTGTTTTTTACCTGGTTCATGCGGTGCAGCACATTTCAGTGAATTCAATTTTACCGCGTATAAGCATATCTTGTACAACAACAGGCAGGCAAAACTGGTCCGAGGCGAATTCCGCAGCAGACCAGCCATGGCCGTCGCATTCTCCACCGCAATGTGCGGAGCTCCTGGCGCGGCTCCCTGCTATCGCTCGTCTTTTCTCCCTGGATTCAAACCTTCCTCCAGCCGGTCGTTTTCGCAAGCCATTTTCACCCTCAACTCTCCCCACTCGCACCCCCACCTCCCGCGAATTCCGCGTCATGGAGCTCGCCACGCCAGCACTTCTCGCGCCTCGATATCAGAACCTTCCGTGCCTTATTCCAGCGCAGAAGGAAAGAAACACTATTTATCTAGTGCCAATGAGGATAAGAGAATAGCTACTGCCGTTATTCCTAGGACGCAGAATCCTGCGGGTGCCAATCTGAGACGCGGGGTAGCTTGCGCGGCGTCGGCGACGCGCGGGGTTGGCAAGGCGGGGAATGGAGAGGCGGCGCGGATGGTGATGGTGCTGGGGAAGGGCGGCTCGGGGAAGACTACTGCATCTGTGCTGCTCGCCCGGGTAATTTCTGAGTCAACTCTTAAAACTGCTCGCCCAGGTGACTTCTGAGTCACCCAGGTGCCATGCTGCTCGCCCAGGTACCATCCGACAGGCTCAGAGGTGGCATTCTGTTGGTTCAGGGTGGCATTCTGTTGGTTCAGGGTGGCATTCTGTTGGTTCAGGGTGGCATTCTGCTGGTTCAGGTGGGATTCTGTTGCCTCAGATGGGATTTTGCTGGATCAGATTGGATCTTGTGGTCTCACCCACTAAACGAGACCTCTCTGTGCGTCCTCTCTTCCCCCAATCCTCTCTCCCCACTGTCACACCCAGCGGTATGCAGCAGCGGGGTACCGCACATGCCTAGTGGTGCAGTCTCAGGACAGAGTGGCCGACAGGCTTCTAGGCATGCGCCTCACTCCCTCGCCCCAACCCGTGCCCGCACCTGCTGCAGCTGCTGCTGCTGCCTCCCAGCCGCCGCTGCTGTGTGCTCTCCGTGTGGAAACCACCAAGGTACGGACCAGTAAACCCAGGGACCAAGGTACGGAAACTCAGAGTCTGATTCCCAGGCAGCTGCTACTGATTGTATTGATTAAAATAGCGCTCAAAGCAAATGTTGAGATTTTCATTATTGACAACCAGTTTCTTCTGTGCGCCTTGTCCCTTTTGCATGGCTCTGTTCCTGTCAGCTGCTACTGGCTCCTCTCGAGATCATAAAGAAGGCGGACGAGCGACTGGGAATCACACAAGGCGCACTGGCAGAGGTGAGGGTTATTGCAAGTGTGTTACTGTTGGTGAGGGTGACATATCAGCATGTTGGTTCTTAATCACTCAGTGTGATTTCCTTGATATATAGCATTTTAAAGATTAAGGCTTGACCTTCTAGGGTTTCATGAAAAAACCACGCCTTTTTCTTGCCTTAATGACCTGACAATGGCCATTGTCATGTTTATATAAAAAAAAACAACTAGCAATGTTATGTTCAAAGCACAAAGCGTAAACCTCAAACCTACACCAGTGGTGGGCAACGGGCTGTTGGTGGTGGGCGAGGGGCTGTCGGTTCTACCAGGCATGGACGTGGTCGTGGCAGTCGCAGTCTTAGTCAAGGGACCACCCCAGTACCACATCTCTGCATCACAAACCCCTATTCGTTGCCATGCCATCACCATAACAGGTGGTGGGTGAGGAGCTGTCGGTGCTGCCCGGAATGGACGCGGTAATGGCAGTCGCTGTCCTGGAGCGCATCGCGCGTCCAGCTGGCGGCCTCCTGGCCTTTGCCACGTCATCAGGGCCGCGGGCCACGTCAGCAGGGAAGAAAGGGCGGCAGCAGGGGAGTGGGTGTACCCGTGGGGGGAGGGGGAGGCGGAGGTGGTGGTGTTTGATGGGGCCACCACTTGGGAGGTGCTGCGCATGCTGGCCAGCCCGGAGAAAGCCAGGTGAGGTGTGGTTTAGTGCTGTGAAATGTGGTGATTCGCGGTGATGTGTGGTGCAATGTGGTTAGCTGGGATGTAAGGGGTAGCAGAGCAACAACAGCAACGGGAGAGTGGGTGTACCCGTGGGGGGAGGAGGAGGCGGAGGTGGTGGTGTTTGACGGGGCCACCACTTGGGAGGTGCTTCGCATGCTGGCTAGCCCGGAGAAAGCCAGGTGAGGCGTGGTTGAGAGCAGTGTAAGGCAGTAAGTAAAGTACGATGGGGTAACGTGGTGTACAAGGACTAAGGGGTGAGGCAGAGTCGGGGTGGTGAGAGGTCCAGAGGATGTTGCAAAGCACTGAGGTGAGATGAGATGCGGTGCGCTGCGGTGCGGTGCGGTGGAGTGGAGTGGAATGATTTGCTGTAGACTGTCCTGGGTGCTGTAAGCACCACAATCCCAACCCAACCCAGTTTCAGTAAACCCATCCAAACCACGTGTATTCTGCCCACACTCCCTTCGCAAACCTTACCAACCCAACCCAACTGAGCTGGGCTAACCCATCCCATCCCAGCCCAGCCCATCTGAACCCAGCTCAACCCCGCTTCATCCCTTACCTCGCCTCTGCCCTGCCTCATCCGAGCCAGGTGGTATCTGAGGAGGTTTCGCACCCTGGCAGAACGGACAGACATCGGCCGTGTGGCTCTGCCCTCTGTGGCCCGCCTGTTAGACTCCATTGTGGGCTCGTCCAAAGGAGGGGGGGGGGGGTGCTGGCAAGGCAGCAGCAGCTGTGCGCTCACTCCCTTCCCAACCCATCCCAACCCATCACAACCCATTACAACTCAGTCGAGCCCAACTCAACCCCTCCACATCCAAACCCAACCCATCTGCTCCAGGTGGTATCTGAGGAGGTTTCGCACCCTGGCAGAGCGGACGGACATCGGCCGTGTGGCTCTGCCCTCTGTGGCCCGCCTGCTCGACTCCATTGTGGGCTCGTCCAAAGGGGGTGGTGCTGCTGGTGGGGGTGGGGAGGATGGGCAGCGCAATACAGTGGAGATATGGGAGAAGCTCGATTCCTTCCTCTCTGTGAGTAGCTACGGCTCTCTGTGTGATGCCGTGTAGCTCTGCCTTCAGTGGCCCGCCTTCTCGACTCCATCGTGGGCTCCTCCAAAGGGGGGAGCATTCCTGGTGCCGCTGCTGGGAGTGGAGGGGAGGATGGGCAGCGCAGCAAGGCGGAGATATGGGAGAAGCTCGACTGCTTCCTCTCTGTGAGTAGGGAGACTAATGGCTCAAGTGGCTCTGGACTCCGTGGCCCGCCTGCTGGACTCAATCGTGGGCTCCTCCAAAGAGGGAGCGCTGGGGGTGCTGGTGGGGGTGGGAGTGCTGGTGGGGGTGGGAAGGATGGGCAGCGCAGCGCAGCGAGGCACGTGTACCCTTCCTCTCCCTCGCCTAAGGAACCCTATCACACACTACCGCCCCCCTTTCTTCCTGCTCTCTGTTTCTGATCCCTCGATTCGTCAAACCCCTTCCACTGATCCCGTCCCACTTTCCCCCTTCCCACCATGCCCACTCTTTCCGTCGAATCCCTCCCCTCTCCTCCTCTTCCTCTTCCCACCCTACCTGCTGCACCCATTCAATCAGAAAGCCGTCTCAGCGTTTGCCGACCCCTACCGCACCTCCGTCTTCCTATTGGCCGACGCAGCGAGCCACTCGTCAGTCGACACGTGTCGCCGCATCTGGGGCTGTGCCGTGCAAGCAGGCGTGTCCCCTTCAGGCGTGTTCCTTCTCCCATCGGACGTAGCATCGGGGGGAGCATTGGGAGGATTGGCAGAAAAGTTTTCTCCGCTGCCCGTGGCAGAACTGCCCGTGGTGTCAGAGGAGGCCCCGGCGGCTGTAGCTGCCGCGGCCGGTCAGATGAGCGATGGAGCGGTGGCAGTTATGAACGGGGAAGGTGCGGGGAAGGCTCCTCCGGCGTGGACGTGGACGTGGCGGCGTGCACGGTTCGTCTTTTTCTGCCGGGGTTCGACAAGCAAGAGGTCAAGCTGCAGCAGGTGAGTCGGTTTGGCTCTTAGATGCATTTTCACTGAGGATAAACAAAATGCCCTCCTCTTATGTGTATTCCTCGTCCCGTGATGATTCGACAAGCAAGAGGTCAAGCTGCAGCAGGTGAGCCTGAGTCTTGTTGGCTTGTAAATGCTCTTCGTGTTGGCTGTTGACCAGTGTTTCAATCATGCCCTCTTCTGGTATGGTTGACTCTCTATCACCAATGCTCTGGGTATAGAGAGTCAATCAACCATATGAAGCTCTGGGTGTTTGACAAGCAGGAGGTCAAGCTGCAGCAGGCGAGCCGGTTGGCCTCAAAACGTACTCACACATAGCATGCCTGCTGATTCTTTGCTCTTCCTCCTTCTCCACCCTTCTCTCCTTGTTTCTCTCCTCCTTCCGTGGTCCTTCACCAGTGGAAGGGCGGGGCAGAGCTGCTGATGGAGGCGGGGGGACCAGAGGCGGTGTGTGATGCTGTCTTGAGCCATTCAGGGACGTGTCACGCACCTGCTGATTTTACCCCCTCCTTCTTCCCTCTTTTGTTATCCTCCTCTCTCATCACCAGTGGAAGGGCGGGGCAGAGCTGCTGGTAGAGGCGGGGGACCAGAGGCGGTGTGTGGAGCTGCCTCGAGCTGTTCAGGGGAAGGTGATTGGGGCGAAATTCGACCCTGCGGGATTTCTTATAGTCACTCTCAAGCCTACAGCAAAGTAGCTCACTGAATTTGACCCTGCGATATTCTCATAATCACATTGAAGCCTGGAACCAAATAGCAGACTATCCTTGGGCGCCATCAGGGAGCAATAAATGCAGCAGTTGGGTGAAACTCATGTGTAACAGATGATTGTTATTATAAAAAAAATCGTTCAGATATCTTCTACATCAATGCTATCGGTCTTCTAACGAAGCACCGAGTCAACTAAAATCCATTGGCCTGTCACCCCTTCACCCACCGTCAAAAGCCCACCACAGCACAGCACCACAAATTCCCTCACTTGCACACAGCAGCCTCCTCCGACCATGCCTCAGCAGCACCGCTCTCTAGCCACCCCGCGTGCGACTCGAATGCAGAGAATAAACCAATCAGAGGCACAAAATCCGCGGTCCGCGCTGAAAAATCCGAAATTTCAACGACCCTCTCACCCCCACCCACACATATAAATCGAGCACCAGACATTCATTTGGGCATCGACCCTCGACAAATCAACCTCTGCTCTGAACGTACTACTCCAGCGCATCACTTATACATTACGCCCTCCGTTCTCAATACTTATTACGCGCTGCTCACTGCGCTTCTCGTTCCGTGTCAAAGAGAGCCTTTCCGAGAAAGCTCAAAATTAACACTTCTATTATCAGCTCCGCCAAGTTCGCGTCCTAGCTCGGCAATCATGGCGCGCACTGCAGCTCCTTTCACTCTAGGGCTTGTCGCTCTGCTTGTCACTGGTAAGTCACTTCTCCAAGCCGGCGAATTTGTCAGCACGGCTCACCAAACCGTGGTTGTCAGCACTAAAAAAAAAAATCTTCACACGTTATACATATAAGCCATTTCCATCACATACTTTTAGTTTCAAATCGCCCCGAAACTCATCTCTCCCCCTTTTGAATATTCGTAGTTCTTTTGGCAACACAACGAGTCGAAGCAGGCTGGTTTCTCCCCGGCGTCGGCAGTCTACCCACCAACCGTCTTCCACCCGGCTTGAACTCAGCCGTCGCGGCAGCAGCCGCAGCAGCCAGCAGCAGCAGCCCCGCAGCGACACTCAACTCAGCGCTCTCCGGCCTCCAGTCGTCCTTCAACGGTCAGATCACGTCTCTCGACGAGCTTCTCAAGAAATCGCTCGAGCAGATCTCGGCGGCCCTCAGCAGCAACGCGTCCGCGGACGCCGCGCTCCAGGCGCAGATATCCGCGCTAAAAGCCAACCTCGCTGCTTTAAACGGGAGCCTCGCCAGTCTGAACGCGCTGAACATCTCAGGGTCGAATCTGAACTTCACGGATTTGATTTCCCAGATCTCGGGGATTCGATCTAACATTTCATCGATCAGCAGCAGCATCGCCGCTCTGAACAAGGACCTGGCGGGGATAATAGGCTCGGGTGCAGGCTCGGGCGTAGGCTCGCGCGTAGGACCAGCGGCATTGTCCAGCGCAGCCGCCACCGCAGCTTCCGCGAGTCGGAGCGCGGCGATCCGCGCGGCTGTGAGGCAGCGGCTGGCGGCTGTGACGCAGCGAGTCGCGGGGCTCAACGGGAATGTGTCCGCCCTCGCTGGGATGCTGAACGCTCTGAACGGCGCCCTGAACGGCGGTGGTGTCAATAGCGGTCTGGTGGCTGATGTGGCTAATCTTCTTCCCCAGCAGGCGGGCATGCTGCATGCTGTGCTGACGTCATGCAACGGCCTGCTGTCACTCCAAGCCGGCGCTGCTGATATTCAGATCCTCAAGATGTGAGTGACTCGTGTTGACCTGTGCTGAATTGTTGACTTGAGCTGACTCGCTGACTCTTGATTACTCTCGTTGACTCCTCGTTGGTCCACGCTGTCTCCTGCTGACTCGTCTTGACCTTAGTTGACTCGATGTTGAACCACGCTCCCTTCCCTCTCCCTCCATCCATATCCTCTCCTCCCCAATGCAGTGGTTCGGACTATCTGCTCACATACTACCTGTACGCAGCAGGAGTGACCAAGGCCCCGGACTCACAGGCCATTTTCAAGGGCAACGCCTGCAGCACCGCTGCTGCTTCAGCAGCCCTCGCCCTGCCTGGCACGTGGGTGCCCATGAGCCCTGTGTCCTGGTCGCTGGCCAATGTCGTGAGGGCGTCAGCTGCTGACGTGGCGGATGTGCTGGCATCGTTCCAAGGGATCACCAATGATGACCTGTTCCTCGGATTCTCCGGTGCTGACGGGGCTCTCTCAGGGAGAATGATTGGTGGGAGGGTGTGACTTGCCATCGCAGTTTGAGACAGTGGGAGGTGGTGATGGGGTGGTGGGGGAACATTGCAGAAGCACCACTCATGCAGACATGCAGCTACTCAAGTAAATATGTGTAGCAAAGTAGTAAAGACGAGGCTTGGAGGGGGAATGCTTTTGTAATGTTCCATCCATCAGCAAGAGTTTTCTTCAGCGCCCATTAGAGTTGCTTGCTACAAGGACAAACACTTCCAGCGGCGGTAACAAAGACAGTCGCACGCTTGTGCGAAGGGCCTCACAACAATCACAGAAATACCAGGTCCTTTGCTGACCGTCTTGTTGACCGATTCTATTCTAGGTCACATTGTGAACTATTAGGGCGCCTCAGAAGTATTTAAGATAGGGTAATCGCACGCTTGTGCGAAGGTAACATACACTTGGACCTCCCTCACATTCACAGAAATATGTACGGTAACTCAGGCCTACGGTACCATCTTGTTGGTTGATTCTAGGGCACATTGTGAATCAGCGTGTCAATCTGCAGGGGCAGCAACGCAGATAATCTGGGCTTGGATGGGGGGACCAACTGCAGCCGGCTGTAGGAGCAGTGCTTAGAGGTGTGTCCCCCATCCCCCTCTCCCCCCACCCCCACCCTCCATTGAGCACCAACGAACCAATCGCAGCCGCATCAGAAGCAGCAGCAGCAGCAGCAGCAGCATTCACACAGAGCCCCCATCAAAGAGCACCAGCTGTGGCAGCAGAGCAAGAAGCAATCACAGCAGCAGAGTGGCAGCAGCAGCAACAACATTGCTTCACACAGGGGCCCCATCAAAGAGCACCAGCTGCGGCAGCAGGGAAAGAACCAGTTCCCGATACCCATCCCACTGACAAACAGGATTCCCCGTCAAATCAAGCACTGCCACCTGGCGCAGCCCGCCTAGGCACTGCAGCGCCGCCCACAGGTTTGGATGCTGCCTAACCAGACCCACTGTTTCTGCTGCTGCTGCTTCGGCAGCAGGTTCGGCAGATGAAGGGCTGCCTGCCCTACTGGTAGCCCTACCGGAAACTTCCTCCCCTGTGCTGTGTCTTGGTGTGACCCATGAGGGGACCCACGAGACCAGGATGGAGGGG